TTTTTTTTTTTTTTTTTTTTATTTTTTTTTTTTTTGTCTTTTTTGTCTTTTTCCGTGTCCGGCAACGGATCTCAACCCTCAGTGTCGCGCCCGTACTGGACCGGGACCGGCAACGGGATCGCAACCCTCGGTGTTGCTCCCGCGCCTCACTCAGCCAGTGAGTGGGAACCGGTCTGTATGTGGGATCCGAACCCTCGGGCGGGAGCGCCGCCATGCTTCCCAAGTGGCACACTTATCCAGTGCGCCACCGGGCCGGCCCCAGGATTTTGTTCTTAAAATCACTGAAATGCTGCATCCTTGAGCATCTAAAACTTGAGCCTTCAAAAAATTTCCATGAGATGAAAACTTGGCCTGTGGGTGTCAGGACGACCGTTTCCATTGTTGTGTCTGAGCAACACCCGTAGGAGCACTTCAGCAGACAGCAACAGAGTCTGTAGACGTGGCTCTGTTGTTGTGGAAAGCCTTCTCATCACCTGCTGCAGGTCTCAGCTTGACCGTTTTCTCAGGGTGGCCGTGTGGCCTCATCTCCGCTAGTCCCCACTACCCGTCCTCTAGCTCCTGTGTTCTCCCTGCTCACCCTCGTCCACTTGCACCTTGTGCCTTCTATGCTAGACCCAAATGTCTGCGAGGGCAGGACAGTTACCTTCTCACTTGACTGCAGTGCTTGTCACACAGACGAATGTGCTGGACAGCAGCTCCTTACCCAGACGATAAACCTGAGGCGAGTTAAATCCGAGTCACACCATTTTTCAAATTATACACTGGCAGCTCTTAAGACTTGAGGCAAAGACCTATTTTTACTCCTAGTGTAGTTCAGCTTTAAGACTGCACTGGTGGAGGATGGAGATGGAAAAGTAAGATAAGGCATCAAATTCTGTTTATAAATAAAGCAGTTACCAATTAAGGTTTTTTTAAAAAAAAGTCTCTTTTTACTCTGGGTTGCATCATACCCTGGCTGTTTCTATACCAGCAACAGCGAGTCTTGAAGTCACTACAGCCCACTGTGAGGACACACAATTTTGGTTATTGTCAAGTAGATCTTTATTTTTATCTAACATTTAAAATTCTGTCAGTTCTGACTCTTCAATTCTCCTTGGCTTTGAATCCCAGGACCCACCTCTCATGTTCAGTGAAGAGTACCAGAAGAGTCTGCTGGAGCAGTATCACTTGGTTCTGGATCAAAAACGCAAAGAATACGTGGTTGGAGAGCTCATCTGGAATTTTGCCGACTTTATGACTAATCAGTGTAGGTGCAGTTTGGCTTATGGAATGTGCCATTTCTAATTTTTTCAGGCTGGCTTTTCAGTTCTAGACATTTGCCTGTAAGAATACTGGAAACAAAAGGGGGAAAGCTGACCTAATCGATGTAGGTTGCAGAGAGAATTTCCTAGGAAAAATAAGTTGTGCTTAGCAAGCAGTAAAGCAGTCATGTGCCTGCTTCCCAAACCATTTTATGGTGAAAAGGCAGATGGGAGATTCTCTGCCTTGAGGCAAAAAAGTTGGTAGCTTGCCTCTGTCCATTTTACAATAGTATGAGTGGAAAACGGGCCTCATATTGGATTCACTTTTGGGAGGCACTCATTCCAGAGTAGGGTACAAAGCCTGAGAAACTTAAGATATTTCAGTTTTATATTAATCACTTGTAAAAGGCAGGTTCGCAGAATACAGGTAGGTTTCAAAGCGATCTGGGAGTGTTTAAAAGCCTGCACAGAGAGTACAGCCTGCACTTTCCACCCATCTAGATCCCTAGTTTGACTTACCATAAACTTAGGATGGCAGTTTGGGAGTGGGGAAGGATATGGTAGTGGTGGGAATTATGATACATACCCTATGGAGAAAGACAGGACTTTGAAAGGTTTGAAAGGTTTAACGTTAGCATGGAAAGGGGATAAATGAGGGAACAGATGAGATGGGAAAGGAGAGGCAACAAGGGACAAGAATGGGAACGTGAGCCTCTCCTCTGCTCAGCGAGTGAAACCGGCTTCTGGAATGTCTTGCACAGATTTCGTGGGTAAGCGTGCTGGCTCTGTGTAGTAAGGAAGTAGCTGTGTGACCAGGGGCAGGTTACCTGACCTCTTCCTAAGCCTATGAAGTGGTCAATGGAAGGATTCCACCTGCTGAGGTGCTTGGTACAGTGCCTGGTATTTGCTTATTATGGAAGAAGTTATTGTCTTGGGCTTTTTGGTGGGAAAGCTCTCCTTTCCATGTAATAGTCCCACTTCGCCGTGGTCTCATGGGGGTGGAGACAGCACCATTACCAGCTTTGCCCCTCCCCAGCCTTGGCTCGGGCAGAGTGACTGCCAGTGGCAGGAGCCAGGCTGGAAGGTGGCCTAGGAGGACTTTGGCCGGGACTCTAGCTCCACTAGGAGAGTAGTCTCTTGAGAGAGGCCCAAGCTTTACCAGACCTTTCTAAGGGTAACTCTGTCCCAACAACACTCCTCCCCTGCCCCCCTGCCAGTGGCCAGGCAGCTGGGTACCCGTAATAGTTTAAGCCTTATTTTGAAAGTAAAAGACAAACTATTTTGGATTTCCCCCCTAACAGACTAGACGTTAACACACCAGGGAGCTGAGGTGCTTTGGCAGAGAACAGGTACTTAAATACTTTAACCCGTAAGTTGTCACTTCAGATACCACTTCAGACCAAGCAACTTTGACTACGAGAGGACATTTCTATTTAGTGCCCAGCTTGATTCCATTCTGGCTCATCATAAGTCATCTGAAACACTTTTCCTTGTCTTTTAGCACCAACGAGAGCAGTGGGAAATAAAAAGGGGATCTTTACCCGTCAGAGACAACCAAAAAGTGCAGCATTTCTTTTGCGAGAGAGATACTGGAAACTTGCCAATGAAACCAGCCCTCACCATTCAGCAGTGAAGATGCAGTGTTTGGGACGCAGCCCATTCTTTTTTTAAGGCAAGAACTACCTCCCTGTGACACCGCCTCCATCAGTCCCTCGGCCCGAGTGAGGGCAACGGCAGCACACACAGCAAGTGCTGCCTGGACTGCCTGTGGCAGACCCAGTTTCTGGCCTGGCTTTTGTGGTAACCTGATAGAAGGGGACAGTAGAAGTGAAAAGAAAAGCTTTTTTAGTATGGGAATAAAGAGTTGGCAGAAAAATGACCACCCATAAATTGAATGATCAGGCTGTTTTCATAGCCCTAATAGTGCACGGACCTTTGCGAAACTGCGCTTGAGTGCCCACACCGGTTCAGAGCCCCGGACTGCTGCACGGGAGCCCATGGCCCTGGGCCATGCTCGTGACTCCAAGCAGGCCAGTCTTGACTGAGCCAGAGTTCCACAATTGCTGTTCGACTCCACAGAGAAGCCGAAGTCCCACACATACACATAGATTTTAAAAACTGCTATCACGTTGCAGTCAACAAGGCCTGCATGGCAGTTTCCACCTAGTTAAGCTGACAGTGTAGAAAGGTAGGCGCTGACCAGGGTCTTGGTCAGAGCTCAGAGGTAGCCAGTTCTAGGATACTGTTCTCACCTCACCCAAAGTCTAGTCTGACAGAAGTGAACACACGAGTGTAAAAGCCCATTGGCTCTACCACAGCTGATCTCACTGAACAGGACGAGAGCTCCATAAATAGGCTGTTGCCTACAAGCAAGTGCTCCATGCCTGTGTGCCCCGAGAGCGGCTCCACCTGCCCTCCCTCAGAGCACAGTCTCGCCTTAGGGATCTTTTCTCCCCCTCTTCTTCCACAGGCTCCATTAAGACAAGGAAGGTACGTTATTCCTAAGATTTCAGCATTCATCAATCCTGGTTTAAAACTAAATGCTTTGGAAGAATACCACTTTTGGTGTCCAATCAAACGGAAGACAGTGAACCGGTACAGTTCTTCATGCAGAATTTGATCCACTTCTTTGTGGTGGATTCCCACATCTCCACATATTCCCCTTTTAAACCTCCTTTCCAAGCTCCGTGAAAGAAAGAGTAATTTATCCCAATTTTATTAGGTGTCTTCAGACCATTTTTTAAGAATGAGAGTGTAGTCAGTTCAAATAGTTCAAGGGGTTCCATATTTCTTTTACCATCAAACTTCATTTTTTGAAGCAATCAAGTTTCATATTCCAGTTTAATGTCAAAGAATAATACATGAAACTCTTTAGTTGACAAACATTAAAAAAGTTAACAGACATGCTTAACTATCCACCTCATTGGTCCTAAGGTTTTAGCACAGAACAAATTTGTGCTACCCAGTGAATACAGCTAATCTGTACTTCAAATGGATTAATCTTTCTTGCAGATGTTGCCTTTTTAGAGGACTAAAGAATGGAGTATTCAAGGTAAGCTAAAGTAAAGCTACAGAAAACCAGCTGATGCGTACATTCTATTCTAGTGTCAACCACATATAAACCCACAGGAATGCCAAGAACTAGAATCTCTCAGAACTCTATCTTCTCAAAGTTACAGACAATTTAAGAGAAAAAGAATCAACTCAGTATACCTGTAGAAATGAGGTCACAGTATCAACTTCAAGAATACTTTATAAAGCGCCTACGTTTCAGGTTTTCTTGTAATACTGCAGTATAAGAACGACGGCAGCACAACCTGCACAGGTAACTTCTACATTTATTTTATACCAAAAAAGTTATGTGCAACAAATAAACATTCTTACATATTTACATTTGTTTTTATTTATCAGTTAGCAAAACAGTGTCCTAAATCTCTGAGAAAGAATATTTTTATCTGTATGAAAGGGGAAATCTGCCCAGTGAACTCCATTTTAAATGAATGTTTACTCTGGAACTTGAAGCACTAGTAATGAATACTTTTGATGGAACATACTATACAGATCATACACCTAATACTTAGGCCATGCTTAATACAGCTTATAACTTTTCTGGGCTAATCTGTTGAAAAAATGTTTAACCAAATAGCCTGGATTCCCACCCCAACCCTTTAGTTTTATTGAAGGGTAGTTCTCACAAATGAGGAATTGTAAGTGCTGCCTTGAATGTGTGAGTAGCTTGTGTGCTGGAGGGAATACGTGAGGACAAAGGTTGCACATCAGATAAAGCTCCCCAAACAGGTTACTACAAATGGTAGTTGGTTTTTCTTTTTTTTTCTGGTGGCTGGCTGGTTCAGGGATCTGAACCTATGACCTCGGTGTTATAAGGCTGTGCTCTAGGCCACTGAGCTAACATGCCAGCTGGATGGCGGTTTCTTTGTTGGCATTTACCTAATACTAACCTTCAGGACAAGACCTCCTGTCAGTACTCACTGGTGTCAAGCAGTGGCACCAGTCTACGCGATGAACTAATTACTGAAGATAACTTTGATTTTTGCAGTCTTTTAAAAATAAGTACAAATGAAAAACAAGCAAATAAAAGCCAACAAACAGTTCCAATTTCACTGTAGTCTTGGGCCTATATCTTACCTAGTACATCCAAACATCCCTTGTACCACATGACATCTTTTTCTCTTTGTATGAAAATAGTCAATGCTTTCAACATTCTTTAAGAGTAATGAGTTTAATTAAGGAGAGGCTACATATATCAAGTAAAAGTAATTCCTGGCACACAGCTAGTTAAACCTGAATTATTTCAGCAGACGTTTACCCTCACTGACAGCAACTAGCTGCAATGGAACACCAAGATTTTATCATCTAACCACAACTGTTATTTCTTCAAATGATATTTATGACTATCAAGTAAAAGGCTTCATTTGCTACAAATAACTTCAAAAACAGGAGGCATAGAATTACTGCTAACATTTTTTTCTCAGAAAAAAAATTTTTCCCCTGCTAATGTCCTTCAACATTGGTGGCTAGTAATGCTGCAACATTTAAATATTGTCTCAAATAGTCATAACAATCTTCATATTTTATAACATGGTGTTTCCCCTGCTCTTCTGGGTGGAATAGAAGGTATAGAGGGGAGCCTAAATTCTTACACAGCAAAAAATACCAAGTAACACCCAACAGGGTTCTTTCTATTGCTTACTGAGATACTGGCATTACTGTGCTGTTATTTCAAGCAGCACATATTCATCTGTCAGTGAGAAAAAGGGTATTAATTCAACTGGGTCATAGGAATGTGGCAAACATTTTATAAAACAGAAACAGTGGTTTCCCCAAGGCTGAGGCATAGCAAAGGAAAAACTTGAAGGGTCTGGCTGAACATTTTTTACATGTTTTCTCACGTAAGAGTGACAACATTTGCAAGAATGCAACATCAAGACAAGCTTTAACTGTACTCTACTGATTGATAAAAAATATGGTTTAAAAAACCATTTCAGGGGCCGGCCCGGTGGCGCACTGGATAGTGCGCCGCTTGGGAAGCGCGGCGGCGCTCCCGTCCGAGGGTTCGGATCCCACATACAGACCGGCTCCCACTCACTGGCTGAGCGAGGCGCGGGAGCAACACCGAGGCTTGCGATCCCGTTGCCGGTCCCCGGTCCGGTA